GCCACAAGTGATCATCTCTGATCGAGGACCACAATTCGTTTCAAAATTCCTCGATGACCTATACAAATTATTGCAAATAAAAAGGAATGCATCCATGGCATATCATCCACAAACTGATGGGCAGACAGAACGGGCAAACCAAGAAGTTGAAAAATACCTGCACCTATTTATCAACTATCAACAGGATGATTGGGTTGAATGGCTAGCACTCGCAGCCTTTCAACACAATAACAGGATACACTCCGCGACAGGTTTCACACCTTTCTTCGTCAACCATGGCCGACACCTGCACGTTGCACAGACAAGCCGTCACAAAACAACAACCCCCGCATCCACAACCTTCGCCACAACATTGGAGAAAATTCATGCCGAGACAAAAGCAGCCCTAGAAAAAACAGCGCAAACCATGAAACATCAATACGATAAACACCGACGTGCAGCTTATACCTACCAAATCCACGACAACGTATGGTTAGATACAACTAACCTCCACTTTCCCCGACCGAAATGTAAACTAGCCGACAAATGCACAGGCCCCTTTACTATCCTATCGAAGATCGGGGAATCCGCCTACAAGCTGAAACTGCCATCAGGGTGGAAAATCCACGACGTCTTCAATGAATCACTGCTAACTCCTTATGTTGCACCCGCCTTCCCTAATCAAGAACGACCGCCACCACTGCCCCCCGAATTGATTGATGACAAAGAACACTACGAAATCGATCAAGTCCTAAATCACAAACTGCAAAAAGTCAAAGCCCGTGGGGGCGGTATGACAACAATGGTGGACTATCTCGTCAGTTGGAAGGGATACGGCCCGGAATCTAACCAATGGATAAACGAAAAATACATGAATGCCGATGATGCCATCCATGACTATGAATTATCCCTTAACTAAGCCATCAGGACGATGGTCTTAAGTGGGGGGTAATGTTACGATTTTTCCCTTTTATTTCCCTTTTACCCCTATTTGATGCTTAGTCAGAAGGCATAAGACCATGGGGAGCTTAGTCAGCACAACTAATCTGCCCACCGAAGTCACTACAATGGTCGAGCCCAACGACAACACAATCACCCTTTTATGTATGGTAACGACGCTCAAGGACAACGAGCACTATGGATACAGACACACATAATAAGTAAGTAGTATAATTAGGAATCTCTGTACAGTATTTAAGGACCAATGCTCTTGCTGGTAACCCCAGCTTTGAGCTAAAGTTTATACATACCATTCTACCTCAAGTCTACAACTGACCTTGGGTCACACCACACGGGTATACATCAGTGAACCCAAGTGATTCCTCGAAGTGCAAAGGAACACTTGCATATCACGTGTATCTGTCCATGTGACGCTTGGGCTTAACACAGTCTGTCAGCTTCTCAAGCAGCAGTGTGCCACCAGTGATGCTCATCACTGTCATTGTTGAAATAGAGATCATTATCAGCCTCTGCTCTGTGGTCAGTGCTTCTACTTTGTACTGACATGATGTGTTGAGATCCAGTGCCCCTGGTACTTCTGGTGCCTCAAGCCACCCATGTGGCATTAAGGGAGTCTCTAGCATGGCACCCAATGCTGGTGCTAGAGATGGAGGTTGTTGTCCTTGTTGCAGGAATACTGTGCTTGGGGGATGGGATGGGAGTGTCAGATCAGGGTCATCAAAACTCTGTAGCCCAAGAGTTTCCAGAGTCTCAGATGACTGCTGTCAGAGGTCACAAGGGGTACTGGTGCTGCTGCTGCTCCTTCTCTTCTCTAGAATGCCCTTCAGTCAGGCTCCCAAAGACAGTTTTGGGTACATGTCCTTCCACAGGTTGGAAGGACTGTCAGGCAGAGGCAGGGATGTCATAGAGAGGGAGGTCTGGCATGACATTACAGAGAATTGTCTGAATATATTGAAACTCTTGATAATAATAAATAGTCCAGATGACAATTAATTGGTGTCCATGGTACAGCTGTATGATTACCAATAAGTCTATCAGAGTTCCAATGATGGAAGCAAGGAGTTCAAAGAACTCATGAGTGAAGTTCAGGTCAGAAGGATTAAGTGCAGGAGGCATTCAGTTTCTCAGCACAATTAGGCTTGAGAAAGAGAAGCCAGAAGCTTTGAGCTAATTGTTAAGCCCAAATTCCATGTGACTAATAACATGTGATAAATGACCACTATCTCACACTTCAGGTAAAATGATCAAGTTCACTGATGCATTGTTGGCACTGTGTGATTAAGGTGTTTGCAAGTCACTCAAGATAAGATGGTGAAGAATAAACTTTAGCTTGAAGCTGGGGTTACTACAGCAAGAGCTATGCTACTTAAATACTAATTCCTTATCATTCTAAGAATATAACTACCTAATTGTCCTTGCTGGTGCTGTATAGCATTTTGTCCAGTATCACTAAGATATCTATAAAAGAGTATTGTCTGCTGTTGAGCTGTTACTGCTGTGCAATGACAAAAGAGATGCATCTGTCATTGTGCTGCTGTGAGGCTCACAGTAGTGCAGTTGAATCTGGGCAGTGCTGCTGACCAAGCATTCCCATGATCCTAAGCACTCAGGTCTAGGTGCTCTGACTAAGCAGAAATAGAGGTCATTCCCAAATAAATCAAGGAAAAAGAAAAGAAAATAGGAAAAATTATAACATATAATCTATAAATAAAGTGTTCAAAATTGTATTTCTCCTGTTTAAAGCAGAATCATGCTATTATTCTGGATTGACAGCACTTCTGGACACTCCTAGGCCTGCCCAGACCCATCTGGCCACTGCACAGATTTATTTTAAGCCTACAGTGTCTGTGAGTATCTAACTCCTTTCTGTCTACCCAAATTTTTAATCCTCTGAGTTATTCTTAGTGGCTCAACAAAGCTTTGAGTCATATATTGTGTGTGTTAGGGATTTTGATTTGATCTAAGCTGTGCTTGGAACCTTTTGAGAGTTTTGTGAAAGTGTTTTGATGTATTGTATTGAGCTACAGTACTTTTGTCTTAAGGCCTAGCAACACCTGTTGCCACCTCTTGTTTTGATAAAATGAAAAACTTTGATACTTAGAGAGACCTAAGACTGTTGTATGCATGCTATTGCTATCTGTGCACACTGGATTCATTGAAGAAGACAATTATATTCACTGTTACTACTTTTATCACATTATAATCCCCTCACAAACTAAGAGTATTGTGTGTGTGAGTGAGTGTGAATGTGATCAGTTGATAGCACTCTGCTGTATCCATTTTCACCTTGTGTGCATGCAGAACCTCTTCAGCATTGGGTTTGAAGGTCTTAGACTAGATCAGTAGACTGAACTAGAATTGGATTTGTTGTCATTGCATCCTGACCATAGTACATTGTGCAAAGAGCCTACATACAAGTTAGAGGTGGAGGACATCTGCAAGTCAAACTATACTCTTTTATGCTTCTTGCTAAATAACAAGAAGTCCTGATGAGCAGGCTGTGCATTCACTGCAGTAGAAAGTGATGCATTAGAAATATGCTCTGAATGGTATAAAGGGAGTGCTGAGGATAATGATATGAGATCTGCTACATTGATTCAGAATAGCAGTGTTGAGAGTTGCTGTAGTGAGGTGGATGCTATCAGGCCAAAATGCCTGGAAAGATTCAAGAGAAATGGTGAAGGGTTGCTAGAAATGTCAGGAAAGTCTGCTGACAGCAGCTTGGGAGAGCTATATTGTTTGGTGAGGTGATTGTCCACAAGCATCTCCAGGAAAAAATCTTTATCCTGGCTGGAATCAAAGTGGAAAGGGTAGTTGTATGGATGGTCATGAGAAAACAAAAGAAGCAAAGATTGGATTTGATTCTCTGTCTGATTAGATAGCCAGAAGTGTGAGATTCTCTCTATATGCTCAAAGTCATCATATGGGTGGTCACCCATCTGAATAGTGGTAGTAGTGGTTGGTGATGAAGATTATTAGAAACAGCAGAGGCAAAATGGTCTCTTTTTAAATAACAATCCATGAAATGTTTGGGTTCCTGGATCAGTTTGGCCAGAAATATGTGAATCTGCCTGAGAGTTGAGATCAGAATCCAAGAACATATCCAAAAAATACCAATGCATACAAGACATGCTTGCCAATTCATTCTGTCTTGCTGGGCTGGATGCCTGAAAAATTTTTCAAGCATATCAATGACACCTTCTTGTACTAATGGTACATCAATCTCATCAGAGTAGTGTTATGATTTTTCTTTATTTCTTATCCTTTAACCTCTATTTCATGCTTAGTCAGAGCATCTAGATCAGCACTTAGGACTATAGGACTGGCTTAGTCATCACAACAAGCCAAGTCCATCATTGTCTTAACAGCATCATCTGATGACACATAATGACACTATTATAGACAGTAATGATGCTCAAGGACAATAAGCATAATAGCCAGCACAGATATAATAAGTAGGAGTATTTATAGTAGCACCACAATATGTATATAAGCAGAGCAGCTCTTGCTGGTATAATCCAGCTTTGAGCTAAAGTTTATTCTTACACCATTCTATCCTTGAGCCAATCCTAAAGGCCTTGTATCACATTGATCAATATTCACATCAGTAAACTCTGACAATCCACTCAAAGTGCAAAGTGACATCAGTTTATCATGTGTTTACAATCATATGAAGCTTGGGTCTAACAAGTAGAGACAAAGGGATTATTTGTTTTACATTATAGACACTGTCTGAAATATATATAACAGAACCATCCATGAGTTAGAGTCTGTAAGATTATAGTGCAGCAGGTAAGAACTGCTGTTCATATTTCATGATAGCACCTTGGGTTCAACCACCTTGAATATTCCATCTCCTTCCAATCACCTGTCTTTATTCATCTTAGCTTATTCACCAGCTCCAAGAAATTATTTTCTCCATGGAGCACTACAATCTAAAGATATACAGTGTGTTCTTGTAAGAGTTTCACATGGTCATATGTCTAAGATATTCTAAGGCAAGACATTTCACAAGCTCCCTTTGCAATAGAACTCAAGGAATTGTGTTGGCATAGGAGATCTTAGATATATGCCTTCCATGGTATTGCAAGAGATAGCATGTTGCCCAGAGGATCTAACAGATATGATATGAGAAATTTCATCTGTGATGTCTTAGATGGAACATGCTATAAACCCCAGATCCTACATCTAACTTCTATCATATTCCTTGATGCATTTGTTTTCTGATATGCCTCCAAGAAATTTTGTCCATCTTCCAGCACCACAATATTATTTTTACTGATGACATGAAGTGTCTGTATCACATACATTAGATTAAACATGAGACAGGCTAAGGGATCCGTGATCCTGTATGCTGCAATGCAGATGCAAAACATCAATGAGAGTTGGAGGATCTGACTGAGGTTTTTTGATATGGTCATCATTCATGAATCAAGGGCAAAAATGGAGTGTATCCATTGGCATACCAATGCTGAAAGAAAGGCTGCCATGGCTACACCTTGGCTGACAACAGCAACACATTCGAAGTTTTCTCCAGCCATGAGCATATTAATACTTCCCTGAACCGAAATATACCCTGCCAGTGGATGTGTTAAACATTCAACCAAATGTGTCTTCATGATAAAAGAAGATCACATACATCAAACATCCTTTGCTTGAGAATATCTCTGAGCATCACGAGAGATACTTCGAGTTCGATAGCTCTAGTGTCACGATACACATCATACCACCTTCTACGCGGGCCATCAGCGGGATGAAAAGCCCCAGCTCAGTCTGTGATGCGTTGGCACGTAGATCAGCCATTTGGACGATACGAGGAGCGTCGGCGAAAACTAGAATAATACTTGATGGGTGAGCGAAGAGGATTTATAGCCATACAGACGAACTTAATTCGATATCCTTGCGGCACTCTTTTCGAAGAAATCCGAGCTAAAGACGCACGATGTTAACAGCGGCTTCTCTCAGATCTGATATTAGAAAACGAACGCATTTGCTGAAGATGGTTGCATATTGGGCGTATCTCTTCCACAGAGTTGTTAGGCAAACGTGCCTAAGGAAGCACAACAAAATACACATGTCCCCATGAAGGGCTAAGGCAGACCGAGTGGGGGTTGGAGAGAAAAGAAGCCGGACCGGTGAACAACCTTAAGTACTGACATGTAATGCTGCGCCTTTGAAGAAGTAATTTCACGGCGAACCAATTCGCACAATATACACGTCACTCAGGCAAATTCTAACAGAGAGGTGGGATGTTGTCGAGACGGTTGATTCGGCATCCGGGGACTCGCCTCATGAACTGGAGAAAGAGCCCAAGTACGTACGTATAGGTCCGTAAAGAGCATTCGCTCCATCTTCGTTACGTTCGTTCCCATATCGACTAATGGTGGCTCTCTTGCCCGCCGGCAATTCTTCAGAACATGATGATAATCTTCGTCAAAAAATCCGGCAGTGAATTCGATCTCCCGTCGAGGATCGCTCCTGGACGGTGATTGATGATCCGAGGGGTATGCCGGAGAGAAGGAACAGCCTCTCTGTCGTTGTGGCGGGAGACAATTGAGGATGGGTTGAAGAGACACGTCATATTCATCCAGGTCAACGGTTGTATTGGCGAAAGAAACAAGATCAACTGTGAAAGACCCATTAGACAGAAAAGCGTGACAGATGATACACACACTCACATTATATGGTACCAAATTTTACGCGCCCCTTTATGCAGGCAAATGAACGACCGCAGGGGTTGCAAAATGAAAGCAAGGACGAAGGAAATGAGGAGTGCTGTGCCCAGCATTTCTGGGATCGTCGAATAAGCGGATCTCTAGTAGAAGAGAATTACGCCTAGGACATGGGAAGCGTTCAAGTGAATGTACCCATAGAAAGAAAATGGTGGGCAACGCAGTCAAGATGCCATTTCTCCTCTTTGTATGTCCAGAACGGTCCCACCACGATTGGACTGTGCACAGCAGATGGCTCTGTCATCGATGTTATTCATGTGTCCTGGGCTGCTGTTCCTTGTTTGAGATCGAAAGAGGCTACGCTGCTGTGGGAATCTAAAATATCGTTTTGGGGCCAATGATTGGAGCAAAGAAACGCGTGCACCTCGGAAATCTTTGGATACCCCGACATAGAAGATATCAGTCCAGTTCCTTCTTGACGGGGGTAGAAAGCACGTCGAAGCGGGACGAGGTTGGACTGGTGGCGGAAAGGGGAGAAGCGGAGCGAACTCGGCACATCGACGACGACGACGGCGCCATTTTGGATGTATGCTCTTCTCCTCCTAATCACCATCATCAACTTTTATGGTTTGCCTTTACTCACATTACCGTTCACCATGTGGACTGAATAAGACGGGAATGCAAATGCTCGTGAATCGTTGGCGTTGTTGATGCTGCAACTGACATTAGCTGCGATCTTAGGACATCGGAAGACTATCTATTTGGCAGGCACGAATGCAACAGCGAAGAATGACTTCGGTCGAGACGCGGGTGGGGCCGGGCCGGGACCCCTGACCCACCAGAACCCGGTTTCGACCGATGCATCGGACAGCGAGAATGATCACTACCACCTCGGAATTCGGTATTCCTTTCCTAAGACCATCGTCGCAAGTAACGGACAACATATAGCAACTTCAACCGTTTACTTTCTCGCAAGGCCCTCCGCGCTGATGTAACTCTGGTATGGCTTTGGTCTGAGTGGTAGGTGCTGAGGCTGCTGCATCGGACCCACCATGTGCGATCCACATGGCCAATCGTCCCTGATCACTCGAAACTATTCCGTTTATAATGAAGTTTCCACGGACAAGTATTCAATCGGCTTTGAGGCTGTTTCGCGAAGATGTCATTTCTCCGAGATACTGTGCACTCAATTTTTAGAAGCAAGGGCTGAATGCGATTTTAGCTGGCGGTCCGGTATTTTTAGCCACCATTCCTCAATCGCGTCTCTTTTTCAGTGTAAATGGTCCATTCTGTGGACGGGTTGGTTTTAAATGTGTCTAATGTCTCCGTCTATCGGTTGGTATACGACTAAAATTCTGGAGCTCCGCAAGATAGTATTACAATGGACGATTTGACAGACTTATGTTCGCTAAAAGGATCTGTGTCTGCGAACGTCGGCATCCCGGCGCGTGTGGTAGCTTTTTGATACCCCAGTAAATTCGACGCCATATAAAACAGGGAAGGTCAGACGACTCTTCACTATCCCTACCCCTACCCGCCTCATAATGCGCAGAACTCACGATCAACTAGCTGCAGACCAGAACAAGCCCGCACCGCCCGTCGTCACCGCTGACTTGAGTGAGAAGACACTCATCCTGATCGGTGCGAACGCTGGTCTCGGGTTTGAGGCCGCAAAGCACTTCGCTAGCATGAACCCTGCGCGACTGGTCTTGACGGCAAGAGATGAAGCAAAGGGGAAGATGGCTCTGGCCCGTACGTAGCATCCGATTATCCGGTTTTACAAGTGCGACTCATCCTGGTTTCATTCTCAGAGATCCAAGAGGACACTGGCTATACCAAGGCGGAGCTATGGATCATCGATCTTGCCAATTTCAGCAGCGTCATCGCGTTTGCTGATAAAGCCGAGCGTGAACTAGACCGATTGGATATCCTTATAGAGAATGCTGGCATGATGACTTATGAGTACGAAGAAGCGGAGGGTTGGGAGAGAACGTATGTGCCGTGCCACCTTCTTCTTTTCCGGAGCACGAAAGGGCTTATCATCGTCGTCCTCAGTTTGCATACGAACAACCTCGGACCTGGCTTACTTGCGATTCGCATGATCCCCAAGATGGTTGAGACAGCTCGCAGGTATTCAGCTCACCCGAGAGTGGTCGTCGTCGCGAGCGACACGCATTATTGGACAAAAATAGAAAAGGACGTCATCGGTTCGGCTGGCATCCTCGCGACGCTGTCAAACAAGGAGTACTGTACCCAAGAGTATGTTCTTGATCCCTTCGCTGGTGTCTTGTTGACATGTAGACAGGGTGATGTACCACCGGTATCACGATACGAAGCGTGCGTCAACTTGGCAATTTTTGTTTTACATGGGTTCGAATCTGACCTGACAGACCAAGACAGTGCTGAACGTGCTGTTCGCGCGGGCTCTGCAGGTCCACGTCCGATCTTCCCCGGCAATGATCACCGTCTGCGCTGTGAACCCAGGGCTGTGTGTCTCGGGTCTGCTGACGAGGCTCCCTTCTGATGCTGAGGAGGCACAGGCTATCCTAAAGGACCGAGACGAATTTGCGTTCACTACGGAAGAAGGGAGCCGGCAACTGGTGTACGGCGCGGTCGGGTCGTTGGATGACGAAGAGAAGATTCGGGGCAAGTACATACAAATGTCCGAGGTGACGGAGGAGAGCGACTTTGCGATCAGCGAGGATGGGAAGATCGTCGAAGGAAAAGTCTGGGTAGGTGGTTCTTGAGCATCGAGTTGTATGGTGGAGTTTCTGATTGATGTGCTTAGGAGGAGATGCTGGAGATCTTTGGTGATATTGACCCCAAGGTTACGGAGGTGGCCAAAGTGTATCTGACGAAGCCTTGAGTTCGGCAGTAGAAGACAATGCATCGATTGTGTATTAAGAGCCTATCATTTCTGTGTATCCTGTACTGTAATGCATCGAAATTTGAAGGGTTGGTCGTACTATTGACATCCAAAGTTTGGAGGACGGGCATACTAGTAAAGAAGACCCCGCGGAAATCCAATATCAAATCGAAAAGTTGCAAGGAAAAAGAGGGCATTAAGCGCTCTGCGTTTTCAAATTCTCGAGACCGAGACCAAAGATCTTGCGGTACTCAGGATTCGTTACGAATCGCTTGCTAAGACTGCCAAGTCCGTATCGACCAACGCGCTGTGAATGGCGCTGAACAGTGCCGTGGATGCACCCCTAAACACAGGTGTAGCATCATACCACCAGATGAATTCCTGGGAGGAGATTCGACGGTTAGGATCGGTCATAAGATCCATGTCTTCGACTTGGACGAAGCATGCACCGATCATCCCTCCGATTTCACTGCCTTTCAAGCGTAAGACATCGTCGCCCCGACCATCTCACCAGGAGATGGAATACCAGCTGTCTCATGCCAGATACCGCTTCAAAGGTATCTCGCACACCTGGTGTGGCATGAGATGAATAGGGTGGTCTCATTGCCAAGGGATATGGACAGGGGCATGACAGGTGGAAGCAGCTCTGTAAGTGTTGAATCACCTGATACATTGCTTGTCAAAGCCCTCGGGGTCATCAGTAATGACATCCCTTGGTCTGGGTTCCCTCAAGGGTCGCTTTTCGCATTTTGTTTCAGCTTAGCTTTACCAGGCATGGTGCATCTCCTTCATGATTATATTTGTTTATGGATTTCTTTGGTTTTTGTAAAGTAGTTCACACAATGTGTGTCTTGGTTCATTATATCATATATAAGCTGCCATATATGTGACTAGACATATGGTACAGTGTAGATCAATTTCTGTTTCCTCTTCTGCCCAGTGTTTTGACTCAGCTCGAAAGCCAATCAGTGTTCGAGATATCTGCTCAGGACACATACCATTGCTTTTGTGTAGAATTTTTTGCACTGTTGTTCACAGAAAAGGCAGCCAGAAAAGGACACATTAGAATAGAATTCTGCATCTGTCCTCCTGTTCTAAAGGTGTATTATCCAATAGCAGTGGCCTATCCAGTCCAACTGTGTTGGAAAGAATTAGCTTCGTCTTGTGGGTGTTTAGCGCAAAGACCAGGAACCAAATCGTCAGGTACAATATCATGACAAATGGATATTTATTTCAAGCGACTCGGACACGTGTCATCGACTTCTCGAGCTCTACTGCCGGCCCCTTGCAACTATTGTCTCCTGCCCTTATATATATAAATATCATATTGTTGAATCTTTCACATATGATAAGCCTCCCTGCACGGACATGGCGAGCTCATTCACTAAAAAGAATGTGGATCCAATTGATGTCGACGAGATAATGATGGGATATGTAATGTGCTACACGTGTACAGAAATGGGAAATTTGTCCGTCTTGTGTTGTACAGGTGGGGTCTTCGGAATGTGCAAATATAAATCCAACGAGAATAAACATAGCGATAAGAACTGAGAGATGAGCAACGGTTAGGCCTGAGGCGGTCAGTAGAGGTCCGACGGTGGCTCGATCGGATATCCCATACAAGTCAATCATCGTGGCCTGTATATATTGTAGTCATACCCTGGCTCCATCGCGGTAACGTAACCTGAACTATCATGCGAAGCAGGGAAACGGATAGCATGAGGAAGGCGCTGTGAGTTATCAGGAATCGGGAGTGGGTCGTGGTAAAGTCGGCTGTCGACGGATAGTGGCGGGTCTGCGGGAGGGGGGGCTGTTGAATCGGTGGGTGAATCCTATGTGTAGACAGCCTGTAACGGTGCTCAGAATTGAAAGAGAAAGACGACGTGATAGAATAGCTTACATATTTAGACAGGACTTTCTCAAGCGCCTGTCCAAGAAGTGACCACTCAAACACTTTGATGTCTTTCTCAATATTCCGGGGCTTGGGATCAGGGAAGTCCATGATCCGCCGGAAGAAGGTGTCTAAAACATGTCCATGTTTGCTGACGGTTGTCGGTTTCAAACACTCCAGATTGCGCCTTATGCGGTTTTTCTCCTCGACAGGAAAGTCGTCGTTGGTGATCCTCTCGAGCAGATAAATGATATCTACGCCAGTGACATAGTACAGGCCGTTTGGAACGCCAGAAATACAGGAAATGACGGTGTCCGTGCCATTGTAGTCATCCTGGCGGATAGCTTCGCAGGTAAGAATGATTTTGCAACCGTCTTGGACGTTGTGAAAACGAACGAGTCGACGACCGATGAGGACTTCGGATGGATTCCAACTTGTGCACATAGTATCAAGAGGGGTTTGTATGTCGAGAATAGGCGTCTGGCGATGGAGGTTGATGTCGTCTGGAGAGCCACGGTTAGCGCGGATGAGGGAATTCGGGCGAATGGGGCGTGATGCTGGTCTGTGGTCAGAAAGAGTTGCAGAAGGAGCTGATGGTGGGTCGTGTATACTTGTGGTAGTATTGGCCTGTAGGCGGAGCACTGGCCACTGGGAAGCCGCTACTGGTTGGGAAGCCATCCAAGACGGCTGAGAGGCCAAGAGTGGCGGATTCTGTATGGGAAGATGGGGTTCCCTGTAGGTAAACTCGGCAAAGAAGACGGAATGGAGAACGTTGTTGTGCAAGTTAACTAGCTCGACGGTAAGGGCAACCTTCAGTTCACTCATTCTGTGCGGAATCATAGCACGAAGCTCATAAAGGTCATGTTTTTCAGCAGAAATCTTGTAGAGTTGAGTCCTGAGTGCTGTCGAGCCAACTTTTAGACGTAGAAATATTCTTTCTCCGGCAGGATGGCGGAACCGAAGTCGAACAAAGATGGAGTCACCGACATTGCCTTCAGAGGGAGAGAAGTTGATGATAGAGATAATAGGCAAGCATGGGCTGGACATGGCAGCTGGAAAGGCAGAGAGGGGGGAACTGGCAGGAATCATGGCAGTGAAAGCCAGCTCCTACAGTCTCTGACATTGGTAGATAACAGGGGTGTTGACACTGATTTATTTCCATTTCTGGTATAATTTGTCTTGCACTGATCAACATGGCACAGTTCCCAGTGTCTGTCTGTCCCAAGGGTGGCACATGCCCTTCACCTGCATAACTGTTATTGTATTTTTTTTCTTTCTGTAGCCCATGACAGAGCTGGTCATAAGTACATGTGGCTTCTCAAGAACAGCAAAAATTTGAAAAGGAAGACCACCAGCCAGGACAAGATATACAGCGATGCATTCCCTGCTTTTTTTTTTTTCAAATATAACTATCATATGACTTTGAAACCCGATATTCCAATGAAATCAAGCGCTAATTACCGGAAATATTGCCAGCCAAAATTCATCCAAGCATGATCTTTGCGATACTCAGAGGCCGGAAACTCCATTTCAAACTTTCGTTCCCTTAGACGTAGATACATATAACGCAGAGCTTTCCTCACCAATCATTGGTGAAAATATTGCTCAAGATTACCTGCACATTGGTTGAAGAAGAAAAATATCTGCCGGCTGATGAGTCAGCGCGCACTGTCTGATCGGATTCGGGTCTTCGGGATGTCACCCGCGACAGTAGTCCACAATTTCTTCTCTTAACCACCATCATCCACGGTATTCATAATACCGCTATTAGACATCGTCAGTTATGAGTCTTGCTATAGCACGTAGAAACATTGGAGGCCCAAGTTGGTATGCTTATCTTCATGTCTATAAGCCAGTTCCTTATGCTCTTTTCCCCTAACGCAGATGTGCTGATGCTGGAAGGTCATTACTTGGCGTGAGGAATGTGTAGACGAAACAGGGAGGCGCAATCGTGTCCGCGTACAGAGTTTCTACACTATTGTCAACTCGTGCGTCCTACTGCTTCCGCGAAACTGTCTGTTTCGAACTGGCGACGTTGGACCCGAAAGCGAGTCTTATGGCATGACACAAGTCACTGCGAAGTCCATCGAGAGAAGCCTGTGTCAATGGTATAGCGTTGTAGAAGAACTCGTGCGATATGATTCAACGGTTCAAGAAAAGCAGCGGTGGTGGAGTGGCACCTGCGAGTGAGAGTCGACATAGTGATCTGGTCTCGGTGAAGAAGTTGCTGAACGGAACAGACGACGAAGGTCCGTCGTACTGTGTATTTCACGTGTTTCTTTGGCTGACTATGGGGACAGGTCGTCGTACCTGAAGGCACCTACGACTTCACACGCGCAGTACAATCGTCAGCAATGATCGTCATCAGGAGGGACTGCTGTTTGACCTGTAACCGCCTCGTGGAGCGTTCTATAATTCTGTCTGGAGAAATGCTGTCGTTTAGTCAGGAACAGGGGCGTCACCAGATTCGCATTCTGGGCGTGGACGGAGGCCATCAGGGCTGCCGAAAATATACAGGAGGAGGGCTTTACAAGCGACAATCGTTATGCAAGAGGTCACGTACTATATCCAGCCGGCGTGTTACTCATATAAAGTGTTTCGCTACAGTCAACGCGCTCTGGCTGCATTCCGCTGTCAGACAGATTCGAACACGGCTACTGTACGGTGTTTGATCGTCGTCATTCGTGCAGAGTATCTTCGGTATGTTGATACCGTTTATCGAAGCTGAGTGGCTGACCGATTGTTGATTGTTAGCTTCCTCAGCTTGGCCTCTCAAAGCTTTGCTTCCTCCCTCCGCACGAGTCGCATCCGTCAGCATCGTTCATCATCAGTTGCTCGGTACAGACAACAAAGGACTATTAGAATCGGACTACAACCTATGAATGCGATGCAAAAACTCGGTCATAGTCAATCTACTATAGGCGAAACGAAGCCAAACCAGTATCACTTCGTCGACGCATACCACCATTCTGTTGGCCAGGTCCACCACGTCCATTCTGAGGTGCGCCGCCATTCTGTGGCCCTCCCTGACCAATTGGCGGGCCACCCTGAGGCTGTTGGCCACCGAAGTTGCCGTTACCTCCACGAAAACCATTCTGACCGCCGTGTCCTTGTTGTGGGCCGCCCCGATCTCCTTGACCACTATTCTGGGGTCCCGATGGTCCGTTTTGAGGGCCCTGTTCGGGTTGTCCTGGATTGTCGTTGCCACCACCCTGACCCCCGTTCATCCCCGGAGGTCCGTTCTGGCTGGGTTGCTGGCTGTTATTCAATGGTCCTTGTCCTGGACCACTGGATCCTTGTCCGTTTCCTCTTGGTGGACCGCCTCCCTGGACATCTCCTTGACGAGCGCCCAACGAAGTTTGGGTCTTGATTGAGCTGAGAATAGTCTGTAAAGGGTAATTCTTGCTTACCACTGGGAGAGCATATGTGGAGAGCGCCATGGCGAGGACGATGTGTGCGGCGTAGATGCGCATGATTAATGGGGAATAGAGAGACAGAGAGTTGAATCTGTAATGGACCGGCCAATACAGAGGATGAAGCACGAGGCTTGACGAAGAGTTCGAGCTTCTTTTCCTGGCTTTTTATACCTGGGCTGGTATATGTCAATGTTGAGTTGATGCGTCGTGGGTTCAGGCGGCCCTTTTACGCAGGCCGAGGATCAGTCCGCAGTCTGTTGACATCTTGGAGAGGGTGTTTTGGCATCGGTGTTGAAACAAATAGTGGTACGACTATCATGGTATCGATAGTGAGTGTATTGCTTACCGTCGTCTAATGTCGTGAACTGCAATGTCAGTCAATTTTCAATGTTTGATGGCTTGTCATTGTGTCATGTCTGAAAGTGATGATGCCTGCACATGGGCTGAAGGTATGACTGGTACGGTGTCTTCGAGTTCTACTGGCGCAGCCAAGACATATTGACTCTATCTCTTGCTGATGAGAGCGTTGGCACGGTCCGGTTCCTCCGTGATCACGTGCTGCATTGCCGTAGATTCCCGCTTGTCCGTCGCTACAACCGAGACCATCACCAGCCATTCCCTCTCTTAGACCTAGCGATACGGTTCCACCGGCTTAAACTTCTTCTATCATGCCTGCATCAGACAGCGGCACATTCGCATCGACGGCAGGGCTCTCAGTCAAGCAAAGACAATTACCGCCGAGCAGTTAGTCGCCCTTTAAAATAGATTGGGGTCAAGCCTTCCTCACAGCTCGATGACCCAAGTCCATGCGGTGAAGTTTTGAAACATTCACTACGCAGATGGGTCGATTTGCTGACCGTGTGGATGGAAGAACCTAGATTCTAGGAATATGTTGCTCGTGGAAGTAGATGCATTGTCGGAGATCGGAGACCGCAGAATACTATGAAAATTTTTCTCGAACAAAACAACAATTCGGGTGCTTTCTGCCTACATGAGCCTTGCGGTCGCTGTGAAATTTGAAACATGGTCAGAAACGAATCCGCTATCATAAATAGATTGGTGATGGCCAGCTGTCAAGCTTTCAGCTTTATCATTGTTCAGACACAATCGTCATCTTTTTGGCCATTAAAATGATGGAAATTGAATAGATCGGGCACATATGAAAAAACAATATTGCGAGCACAAAAAGTGGGTCTTCGTGTGTGATGGACCCCAGGCACCTGCTATAGCGATCGGTGATTGACGCTAGCACGAGGCGAGAAATAGACCAGAAATGGAAATAAATAAGCGTCAATACCCCTATTCTCCACCGATTTAAAAAATGCGGAGGCTGGCTTTGCCCATCGTCGCTTATGATCTCCGTCCTCAACTACTATCCCTCCGAAGGCGAGGTCGGCGACCGCCTTTCTGTCCACATTGACTTCCGCCATCCTGTCACAGAAATCGTATATCTACGTCTAAAAGTTGGCTTGACACCACTTAGCACTGAAGTCACCGAGATTTCTGCAGGAAAATATGGCCTGTATCGGCTTGATGCTACAATGCCACACAGAATGTGTGAACTGAAGGTTGCTCTTAGCGTCGAGCTAGTTAACTCGCGCAACAACGTTCTCCACTCTGTCTTCTTTGGCGAGTTTACCTACAGGGAACCCGATCATCCCATACAGAATCCGCCAGTGGTAGCCTCTCAGCCGTCTGGGGTAGCTTCGCTGCCAGTAATGGCTTCCCAGGGGCCAGTGTCCCGCCGACGGGTCAATACTACCACCAGTATACACAACACATTCCCAGCTCCTTCTCCGACTCTTTGTGACCGCAGACCAGCATCATGCCGCATTCGCCCGAATTCCCTCATCCGCGCTAACCGTGGCCCTCCAGACGACATCAACCTCCATCCCCAGACGCCTATTCTCGAGATCACAACCCCTCTTGATACTATGTGCACAAGTTGGGATGCCTCCGAAGACCGGATGGGTCGTCGACTCGTTCGTTTTCGCAACGTCCAAGACGGTTGCAAACTCATTATTTCTTGCGAAGCCGTCCGCCAGGATGACTACTGTGACAAAGACACCGTCATTTCCTGTATTTTCAGGCATGAAAACCGCCTACACTATGTCACCAGCGTCGATATCATCTATCTGCTCGAGAGGATCACCAACAACGACTTTCCTGTCGAGGAGAAAAACCGGATAGGCCGCAATTTGGAGGGGTTGAGGCCGACAACTATCAGCAAATATAAAAGGGGATTCGAGAACCTCTTCCAGCGCATCATGGATTTCCCTGATCCCAAGCCCCGCAATATTGAGAAAGACCTCAAAGTGTTTGAATGGTCGCTTCTTGGACAGGCGCTTGAGAAAATCCTGTCTAAATATGTAAGCTATTCTATCACGTCGTCTTTCTCTTTCAATTCTGAGCACCGTTACAGGCTGTCTACACATAGGATTCACCCACCGATTCAACAGCCCCCCCTCCCACAGACTCGCCACCATCCGTCGACAGCCAACTTTACCACTGATAACTTCCAGCACTTTCCTCATACTATCCGTTTCACTGCTTCGCATGATAGTTCAGGTTGCGTTACCGCGACGGAGCCAGTGTATGACTACAATATATACTGGCCACGTTGAACGACTTGTATGGCATATCCGATCGAGCCACCGTCGGACCTCTACTGACCGCCTCAGGCCTAACCGTTGCTCATCTCTCAGTTCTTATCGCTATGCTTGTTGTCGTTGTATTTATATTTGTACACTCCGAAGACTCCATCTGTACAACACAAGACGGACAAATTTCCTATTTCTGCACACGTGTAGCACATTACATATCCCATCATTATCTCGTCGACATCAATTGGATCCACATTCTTTTTAGTGAATGAGCTCGCCATGTCCGTGCAGGGAGGCTTATCATATGTGAAAGATTCAACAATATGATATTTATATATATAAGGGCAGGAGACAATAGTTGCAAGGGGCCGGCAGTAGAGCTCGAGAAGTCGATGACACGTGTCCGAGTCGCTTGAAATAAATATCCATTTGTCATGATATTGTACCTGACGATTTGGTTCGAGAAACTTCTCCGTACGGAGGTGACCTTCGAAGGCGTCATTCGCTGGTTCGTGGTGTGTGCTCCAAAATTCGACAAAGACTCGTTGTCACCATTCAGACGATCGACGTGTCGGTCTCTGTTCTTCTAGGGCACATGCCTATTCATATCTGCGTGCATCCTCGCTTCCTTCGGCACCATACATACGATTTTCGACGACCGGGAATCGTCCTTATCGGTTCTCCGTTACGTCATTCTTCGACATACCCAAAATTCACTTTCACCGGCTGGACTCTACTACAAATTGATGGTGTGGTTCAAGGACTGTCTCGTCGATGCTGAGGGTGATTCTGGTGGCAATGGCAAGATCGATCTGTTGAACCGTTATTCTTCGATGCCTTCCTTTGCCGTCCAAGGTCTGAAAGAGTTTTTATGGGAATTGGTCGACGTTTTTGTTGTCCGATATAAGCGAGAGCCTACCACAAAGCAAATACAAACATATGAAGCATGCAAGGTGTCGAATTCAGATCTTGCCCCAGAACTCCCGGCCGGCGAATACTCCACGAAACAAGAAAAACTTGACAACCCTGCCTGGCTTATCGGGACTCTGGAGGCAATGGGTCATCAGATGAGATGCTTTTCAAAACAGACAAAAGCTTCCGTCAGAGTACCGTTATAGTCTTTATAATGCTCAACGATTGAGGAGCGCGCGAGGCTGGTAGTCACCAAAGACCGTAATCACACCCAATATCTCGAGCAGCAATAGCTTGGTAACCTTGGTGTGAGAGTGAGAATATTTTACATTAGGTCGATAACCGCACCAGTTCCTATGAACGTACTTAGATTGCAGCAAAGGCTTTCAGGCTGAATAAAAATTGTGCTCGCACATAATCAGGGTGTACGAACACATGGTCAGGATTTGAAATCGCCAACTTGAACTTGATTCGTGACCACGGACCGTAGCGCAGGAGTCCACGCGAAATTATCGTTGCTGGCTTGCTATCAAAGTCCAAGAAACACGTTGAGGAACAAAATATTCCGCCAAGTGAGTTTTTGTTCACCACTTAGTTGCATAATGTTCGGGACGTCGTTCTTCGTCTCCGTATATACCGTGACGTTGCCTCGACAATTCTTACTGCCCACATTACTTTAGCTCTTGACAGACAATACCAAATATCGCTATTTTCGGTCCCCGACAACTGATAACCAGATAGCATTGCAGTTTACTCCTCTCAAACCAGCATGGATCACAATCTCGTCTTTAAAAGACATCAAGGACGCAATAAACACTTCGTCGAGGCTAAAGTCCGATATATGCAAGGCGAGATCGCTTCAAACAAGAGAGGTTATTTTATCTGCGGTTCTGAAGCGAAAGCATTTCTGGAGGAATACATGCTTTGGAACGGCAGCACACCGGCAAGCTACAGGCTCAAGGGACCAAGGAAGAGCCAAAAGTATCTCCTTATGTCCATAGCAGGTCTTCCTGAGTTTGATATGTACAAAAAATATGTGCACGCTTCCATGACTTAGTGTAGTCCATCTTTTCACTGCCCATTGTCTCCAGGTTAAGGCTCTTGAAGAGTGGCCTTCACCACCGGATACAATAAACACAGAGTATGTATCGACACGTCCTCTGTTTCGGAAGTTCCGGGACCCGGACAGAAACCGTGGTAATCTTGCAGTGGATATCAGAGTGTATGTGTATGACATATCAGAGGTTCATATGTCTAATTACTCACTCATGGAGATGCAGACAAACATGTTGGAAGAGTGCTTCTTTCACACCTGGAAAACAAATGGCACAGTTCACTAGTTTATTGGAAATCCTGCAATGGCCAGAGATGCTACCAACGGTTACATGGATCCAGACACTTTAGCAACCTGCCTTGCCAAAGACTAAGGATGGGGTCAGTCTTTTTATCCAATCCAACAAACATGATAACTTATCAGCTGCTGAACCAAAAGATGTGTGTGACTCTTATAGACCATATCACTGGAAAATTCAATATTTTAAACAAATTTTAATGAAGGCATTGACGGCAGTATGCGCCGCGTACCCACCACACCATGGAACACGACCAACCCAGCCGGCACCCAAGACACGCCCGCAAAGCACCTCGCGGCTTCGGCCACCCCCTGAATCAAACTAATCAATTAGCCGACCACGGGGGCCCAAAGTACCACACATGTCCGTTACTCTACTCCATATTACACGCAAAAACACCAGGGGAACTCGGAAGGAAGACCGGAACAAGACGGAGAGAGGATACTGAGGACCTGTACCTCCACCATGTCTTAGCAGTTAGCTTGTTGCGGTTAATCAAGTGCCGAACACACAAAAAAAAATTAACCGCAGTACCCCCATGCAGACGAGTCCCGGATTGCTATGGTCAGGGCGGAATCATCGCCGGTCTGATATATGCGTCTCTTCCACTACTTATTACGCCCCCAATACCTTATTTATTATACTACCGTCTGACCAGTGAACTCGTATGACTCACTGATCGATGTCATTTATTTTTGTCCAATCCCACGTGGAGCATCTTTGGAGGACATCGCTGCTACCAACCTTCCTTTAACCATAGCGGGGCCGTCGATAACGTTATTTCTTATCTATCCAAAAGACAACCATCCGCAACTTATCATTGTCTCTTGGCCATCTCAGGAACCGCATGGAATCACCTTTTTCAGTTTTTTAACCCACAGACACGCAGGCGCAGACTCATTTCGCGACTATATGCGTAGCGTTGTCTCATATTGCTGTAATAATTCCTCGCGACTACTCTTCTGCTACTTGGTATGATATCCTGACTGAGAACAGACCGCATGGCTCCCACTTTTTACCTGTTTTCTATGCGGACTTGCCAATTGAAAGGCTTTTAACGACGTATTTCTCCGTGCTCCGGTCAGTGCTAACGCAACTGAGCGGTAGTATTTGAAGTATCCTGGCTTGAGACCGCCTTTTGGTTCTTTTCTCTATTTCTTCTAGGGTCCTAGCAGAGTCTGTTGCAAATTTGATAATCTGAACTGATTCTTTATGGTTAGACATCCGGTCCATCTGAGACTGTGTGGTACGTATTGAAGACATGACTCTAGCTCCACCTCCCCTAAAATCTGAAGCTCGTGAAATCCTAATCACTTGTATACATAAGGCATCAAAGCGAACTCCTAAAAATCAACATCCAAGATGGCTCTCTGCTCTTTCGTTGATTTCTCGGTACAGCGTTCCCTGGACTCAGTGGAAACGCACGGAGCATCCTAGAGCAAGCCACTCCTGGTGCACCTCATTGGGTTGTGTATGCTGATGCTTATACATGGAGAATTACTGGTCCACCAGCAGTGTCTGAAGTTAGGGTATGGAAGACACTGTTCCATATCCAATCTTCCAAGATTGCTGACGAACGATTTCATATGACTTCAATGTCTTGTAAATGTTTCGTTTCAGTGATCTCCCTCACGTTTGATAAATGATTTTCAGTGCACTTTCCTTCTTTGAGAAGGGGCATGGGATAAGACAAATTACTTCGCGTTGTACATGCCGGTCACTGGACGATGATTGAGGCCTACGAATGGACAACGCTTACAAGTTCCGAGACATCAGCTATTAAATCAGAGTACGCCGCCGCTAGCATCTCTCTTATAGTGTCTGCCTTTGGTTCCACCAATGTTCCAACTACTACGGGGGCAGATCCGGTCGCGACTGCCAATACCATGGCTGCATGGGTCATTGAGTATGACCTGGATGGCATAGATATTGATTACGATTCTCTGTCTCTCATATGAATACTTAGGACTTTTACGCCATGAACTCAGGAACAACCGAGGTGGGTTCCCCCACTTTCCTTCTATATCCCGGTTTTGATACGTGATAGGCCTGATTGACGAGTTTCACCACCCAGCTGCGGGTGAATCTTCCTCTGAGTGCCTACATCATCTCTCATGCTCGTCTTCTCAGTCTAATCACGGTTGCTGAAGCGTCTCGATGCAGCCGTTGCTCCCTAGTCATTTCAATTCTTTGATGTTTGATCAGCGACCGACTGCTAATATCTTCCTTTACGTTCACGCCGACCTATTATCCGGGAGACGGGTACTTGAAAGTACACGTGGACATTGGAAACTTGATTCATTGGTATGACGTTCAAGTCAGTGAATTCACATCTGTGTAATCTTAGCACTTATCTCATCTTTCTCAAGTTTTATAACCGTAAGTCGATCGCTTGCGCTTCTTCAACTTCTTATGACCTTTGACAGAGGGAGACACTGAATACACCACCTGCAGCGGGTTACTGACTACTTCGTCCGAGACATGGCCCCAAACCGCCTTATTCCAAATCGCTAACAGTGGTGTCCCTCTTGAGAAATTAGTCATCGGAAAGCCAACGATGGCTAGCGATGCAGGCAGTGGTTATATGACTATCTCAAGTCTAGAAACTTGCTTACAGGACGCGAAGAATCAAGGATAGAATAAGTTGTGCCATTTATTATAATTGATGAATGCTGCTGAGCATAAAACGATTGCAGATGGCGGCTCAATGGTGTCGGAGGTAAGGCATTAATTTCGTGATGTTCCGGTCATGATATCAACTGATAACTTTTCAGTATCCTTACGCCGGAGAATCCTAGATCGCTGTGGTTAGGTCTCTTTCTTGGCCTGTTCTCTATCCCCCAGTTCCCGTGTAGTCCGTATGAATTTCAATGCGACCTCTTTCCTTAATGAAGGAAGCTAAAGACAGGAGCACCCTTTTTCGTTGTATTTTCCAATTCTTGACATGAACCCCCATCAACCGTGGTGAGAGGCGTCTAAAACGAAAACGAATTACCGCTAGTCTTTTTCCTGGTCACAATTCGCACCCGATCGGACCCACCTCCACAACTACGGTATCCACACGGCAAAACAACTCTACTGCTCACATCGTCGACACTTTCTTGTGTAGTTTTTCTACCAAGTAATGTAACAATAATTCTCGGAATCTTTGTGTGACGCCGTGTCTGAATCTAATATTTTGTGCAACCGATGAGTTACCGCGGACGGTCCAGGTCCGACGACCATCGTGTTGCAGTTTTGCTCATCGCCTCGTGCTTCCAAAGCCTGCCGAATTAAGTCCTGCGGTGACTACGATGCTTTCCTTTACTTGGGCGGGGAGGAGATCTCTGCAGCAGAAAGTCATGATGAAAAGGACGAGGTACAGAAACAAGGCCAACAGGCCGAGGAAGACGATGCAGCGGAAGATAACAAGGTCGCTGAGACGGCGGCGGTGAATGTCCCAGAAGACGATCAGATTGCCTCCTACGCTGGTGCAATTATGATGCTCCAATACCGCTCTCACCTGTTTACGATCCTAATCTGTGGACGGTTCGCACGGTTCATACGCTGGGATAGAACTGGGGCCATTGTCAGCCGGCGTTTCGACTACACTAAGCGTCCTGATCTCGTCTTCGATTTCTATAAACGATTTTCCCAGTTATCACCGAGCCAACGGGGGAACGACACTAACGTCTCTCCCATCCCAGATGACGACGACGACGCCATTGCTGCTTGAGAAAAATTTGGCCCGTATGTCACGCATATGTGGCATTGCGATGCACGACACGAGGAGAAGAGGAAGATAAAAATAAAAGACGAGAAACTTCTCCGTACGGAGGTGACCTTCGAAGGCGTCATTCGCCGGTTCGTGGTGTGTGCTCCAAAATTCGACGAAGACTCGTTGTCACCACTCGGACGATCGACACGTCGGTCTCTCGCTCTCGATTTCGATAGTCCTGATCTTCATGACCCTGACAGGCCGCGTGGGGGGCTGCTGTTCATGAATGACTACTGGCATGATGAATCGCCCGGGACTGCCAAAGAATCCGACATCTATCATCTTTTCGCCCAGCACCGAGTCCCCCATGTAGCTGAGATGGAGACTGGTGGAGACATCCCTGATATGGTCACGATTACGCAGGGATATGGACCAGTGTCAGAAGAGCTCTAAGCTGCAGGCACACCGGATCTTCTTGAAGACCATCGGGAGAGATCTAACGACATTCTGCAATGTTAAGGACCTAGTGAAGTGTATTGCAGATGCCATCGAAGGTGCGCCGTACCATATCATATTTGCTTCATAATGTCTGACCATTTATTTCGACCCAGCTCACCAGCCAGCTTTTGACAGGGCCCATATTCTGCACTGTGATATTCGTGCCGGGCACATCATGATCACCCTAAATCATGCAGGATTTCTCATTGAATCCGATGAGTGCATTATCCTTACGGACAGAAGCGGTGACGACCATTCACACAGAACCATAGGTTTTTCATAAATTTCCGCAAGCTTGTTTCCTTATATCATATATATCTCGGGCGCCTGGTAATTCATGACTGTTGACGACCGATAATCTGCCTTATGGGTTCTCCTTGACGTTGTCCTCCGACATACCGAACATTCACATTCACCGACTGAACTCCACCACGACTTGAGAATGTGGCTTGAGCGCTCTATAACCGATGTAGAGGGTACATCTGACGGTTCTGCGAAGATCGACCTGTTGAACCGTTATTCTGCGAGGCCTTGCTTTGCCATCCAGCATCTCAACGAGCTGTTGCGCAAATTGCCCGACGTTTTCGTTATCCGATATCAACCAAAACGTACCACAGAGGAAATTCAAACACATGAAACATGGACGATTTCGTATCCTGATCGCGCTACAGAACTCCCGGCCCCCCCGTACTTCACGAAAATGGGAAAACTTGAAAACCCTACCTGGCTTGTCGAGACTTTGCATGCGCATGCGGAGAAGATGAGTGTCCTGCGAAAGGGCAGCTGTGACTGGCGCTACAATGCATGTTACAGCGGGGACGGCTGTTGAAAAGGCTGCAAATACCATTCGGCGGCGATGGCCGGTCTTGATAAAAAGTGGTGGAAAGGCGTGGGCGCTGAGATCCATCGATGAAGCTATGGAGGAATAGCAGCAGACTTATTATGACCATCCGCGTCAACGTTGGATGCCCCGTCCGGTTTCATCGCGTTCAGTGTAGTACGCTGCGGTCACATCTACTTCCCCAACCATGCTACCCGTATATTGTAGTGCAGACCTAATCAAATTCTGTCTTTTACCTTCTCTTCTCCTCGAAGCTCTGAATTCCCTTGTTAACGTGGGGATAATTGGATCATCATTCTTGTACACTCTATCGGTTCTAAATATTCTATGACCATTGTAGAGACAGAAGCTGGGGATAATAATAAGTATACTATTGTTTTTTAGCGCGAGGTGTATGATTTACATGGCTGCAGGGGACAATAAGAAAGGCGAGACAAAAATGTCCAGTACAAGGGGAGACAAATAAACGCGTCAAGTTAAAGTCGTGTCGAATAAGGTTTGTTCGAGAAATTGCTCGGTGTCGATGTAGAGCGATGAAAAAAGCTGCTCGAACGGTGGAAGAGAGAAATCTTCCATTGACGATCGAAAGCACAAGGAAGATGCGTCATTCGACGGGAATGCAATGCAGGAATCGAAGGCAAGCGCATCGAAGTCCACTGGACTTGATCCGGTGGATAGCCCGTCGAAACTAGCTGTGGAGGATTGATCGAAATCCAGGTAAAAGGGAGGCGAAACCAGCTGAGGTTCGATCACGACGGAGGATGTCGAAGAAATTGAAGACTCGGAGCTGAGATCTGATGATGCAGGCGATGCCGCACGAAGAAAGAAATCAGGCAGTGGTGATTCGATCATGCCACCGCTGAAATCCATGAATAGCGAGTTGTCGCTCGCACTGGAGTCAGAGGGTGAAGCGACCATTTCAGGGAGATTCAACTCGTATCCTTGTGGGGAGGCGATTGGTGGGGGAATCGGTGTGTCCTCTGGGAGCCAAGCCTCAACGTCATATTTGGAGGACACCATTGGGAATGTGATGAATCCCTCAAGCGGGACGCCGGCATTGACACCGGGGTGAAGCTGTTTCCCGGGAAATGTTTTGTGCCATCAAGAATCCGCAGATGACTACGAGTACCTCAGCGACAGCCGTCGGAGTATGATAACTCAAGCATGTAAACCTACAGGTCCGAAAGAAGTTACTACTCTCTCAAGTGCCAGTCAAGGCTCACGTCACAAAATATCACATGACGTTGGCGGACTATGGATGTCGCCTCTTACAGGCCGAGTGAAGCGCGAGGTTATCCGACTGTGAGAATCTTCGCTTGTCAAATCTGAACAATGAAACGAGCTAATATATCACAAAGATACTGTTTCGAGGTATACCAGTGGAGAAGCTCAAGATAAAACATGGTGGTCCAACAATTTCAGACTATCCATTGGCTTTGTCCGATACCCAGCGCCATGTTCCTCTTCGTATATATAACTCTTAGGATGCCAACGCACAACGCACCTACTATCAATACTGTCCCGTTCGTATAGTGTCCGGTAGGATATCCCGGCGCCTCGCTCGACTTGTAGATGAAAATACCTGATAAAGAAGATGAACATATATACCCAACAACCTACGGGGAGCGGAGCTCACCCGTGATTTGGCCTATTAACACGCCAAAAGTAAAGTTCATAGGAATAGCCAAAGTCACCGCATCCGTATCCCTTAGGTTCCCAGAAAGCCAGGTCAAGAGTAGCGGAGAAACGGTATATGAAAACATTGTTCCTAAGTTGATCATCGCATATCGAACTTTGAAACAAGTGGGGGGTAGTACAGCTGAAAATTTATTCGAGTATAGTTGTAAACGCTATCCAGGATATTGACGTACCTTGGACGAAGAATGTTGCTCCGCCACAAACCAGCAATACCAATACAAGCATTGACCTGCTTTGGTATCTATCTGCAGCGCACGAAATTGCCACTGAAACGAAGAGCGCCAAGGCAAGGGGTGGAATCGTGAATAGCTGAGCATCGAGCCCCTCGTAGCCCAACCCATTTACCAAGGTCGGCAAAAACAGCGATAAACTTGAAAGAGTGATTCCGTCAGCGGTGTATGCTAGATAGTGCAAATAGAGTCTTCCGTCTTTCAACGTGGCTTTGGCGCCGTCCCAAGTCAATTTGGCGTTTCCCGTGGACCTGGACGTTTCGTCTTTCAGGCGAATAACGGAGAGGGTGCGGTCTTTGGGGGATAACCATGATGCGTTCTCTGGGTAGGAAGGCAATAAAAAGAACAGAGCCAATGCGAGGAAGCATGCTGGTGCGCCTTCTATGATGAACAACCATCGCCAACCCTCGAGACCCAGCGCTCCGTTCAAATGTCCTACTCCATATGCGATGAATCCGCTGAGTATCCCTCCTAGGGCATAGGCTGATAACATTAGCGCAACGCGGACGGCGCGTTCTTTAAAACGATACCAGCTGCGAGTAGATTCAGTCACAATCCAGATTGCAGAAGAATGAGATGGTCGTACAATGTGAGAAAGTAGATTGCCCCAGGCAATAGACCTAATACATAGATTAGATGAAATATAAGGTATGAGGGTTGCATACGCACCCGCCTCAAAGGCACCCAGCAACACTCGTAGAAAAAGTAACGTACCATAGTTGTGTGATGCGGCGATAACCATACCGGTCGCTCCCCATCCAAGGGCGAGAAACGCAAGCCAATGCGGCGGGGAGAAATATTTCAACATGTATGTTGACGGAGTCTCGAACAGCGCACACGAGATAAAGAAAAGCATGAGTACAATGCGAAACTGGGGGTCCGTCATATGCAGGCTCTGCGGAATGGAGTCGCCAGTGTCGGAATTGAGAATTCTGGCATTTCCCTAGAAATGAGGACGTAGTACTTATGAATCAGAAGATTATATTCAGACAGGGCCTACGTACAATATTGTTACCGGCTAGGAAGTTGAGCATGATCAATAACACCATCATAGGCATGATTCGCAAGTCCAGTCGTTGAAGTAACCTGGGGCGACAGCAGCTTAGGTGATATTTCTTTTTTGCGAAACGATGATAAAGATACCTCCTCTCCGCAGCCGGATCAACGAGGTCGTCGCTATTGACAGCGATCACCGCTTCTTCCTGCTTATCATCGAAAAAAGTCGGAAAATTAGAAGAATTTCCGGCAACGGGTGGTTTTGAAGAATGGGAGTCTACGGTATAGGCGGGCATCTAGGATGTGTTGGAGCCTCACCTGATATCCGGGATATATATGGTTCTAGGATAATTTCTTGGTGAGTTTATGTAAACGCGTTTTTGGGTGTGTTGAGGTGTGTAACATACGTGTGTGAAAGCTTCCTGAGATAAACGGAATGTTAAATTGGTTACAGTGCGGTTGGGTATATAACACAACAAGTGAATGAGCGAGTTACCTTAGTTTATGCCCTAGTGGTCAACCTTTATAAACGATCGATCCAAACGCACAGCAGAGGCCAGTGCATTTCAGCGTGTAAAACATGAAGCCTTAAAGGTTTTTGTTTTAGAAAAGCCTTTCTCGGTCCTGAAGGTCGTCAGTAAAATGGTATGAAAAACTTTTTTCCCTATGGAATAATGGAACTGATGTACCTTTTTCCTTTGATAGCGCTCAAAACAAGGGTGTGAAAACTGAAGCTGAAATTGAAACCTTTTAAAGTCTCATTTTAACTTTTCAGCTATCGAAAATGCACCAGCCTTTTCTGTAGTGACGTGAAAAGGACCGATTCTAGTGAAACCGGCATGCCAAAGATTGGTATTAATGAAACACAGCACTGAGCTTGTGAAAAGTTTTGTTTTAAACATGAATTTGTCCTATCTCTGAACGTTGAATGAAGATCCAACGTGTTTTCTTCTATCACCCTTCTATCAAACAGTGAGACAGCCTTATGTGGAGATTAGGAAGAAAGTATTATTTGCCTAGAGCAACCTGCTTTGGACGGAACTCGACGAATCGAAAGAATTCATTGATTTCTTGTCAAAACTCAAAATAGTGTTCGTTTTTGATTAGTTATCCCTGTTCATAGTTGGGTGCATTTTTTTTCACCTCGTCAAATCAATGCATTTACATTTAACAGAAAGCCAGTGCGAGAGGTGCCAAGTTTCATCAGCACAAACCTCTGTATTGAGAACTAAAAAGGAGGTGTCCGGGACGCCGTACCCCTTACGTGTGAGAGAGATCGAGATTAACTATTGAACGGTCGAGGTATGAACACACCTTCGTTGCCCTTCCAAGTGACCAACTTTGCAGGCTATATTTTGGTACGCCATTGTGGTGATCTACACAGATTGCTATTGAGAAATCACAGAGGTCAGAAATGGAAGTAACACGTTTATTGTGGTGGTCGCCGTCGATAGGGATGTGCACCGTACCGTGGATACGGGTCCGGACCGGGACAAGCCGTATATGGCAATGCAATTAGGGCAGCGGAGATCAAATCCTTTTAGCGACCGTGAACAGCGACGACGATGTGTGTGGGCAGGCTGCCCTCTAGCTTTCTGTGCTTCGATCCATTTCTATCTCAGAAATATGTTTGATCCAAGCCATTAAACGTGCGTGTTTCTCTTCAAGTTCGTCGGTACTAATGGATCAAAACGGCATCGTATCACCGTTTTTGGAAACTCTTGCATATTGTACGTGATGACCCCTCGTGCTTTCCTCACTTTAGTATCTAATCACGCTTTAGGCCACCAAAACGAGAGACAAGAGTACCTTCCTGGTTCATGGTTCGGGTTTTACCTACCTTTCATTGTAAGCTCTCTATTTAAATTCCCCGAAGAGCTTCGAAACTGACTGCTTTTATATTAATAGTGAATGTACTCTGCAGCTTCTGCCTTACAAGGTGACAACGAAGACTGGTATTGTGCTGCAGAGAACGACCAGATCTTTTGAAGAATACATTTATAGCCGTAATACGTCCACATCTGTACTGGTACGTACCGTCAAGTTCGCTTTTGTACGGCCATGATCCATGCGTTAAAGATTGATTACTTCACGTATCTAATAAAGCGGCTTTCCCAGGCCCAGCCGTTCTGTGCTCCGTTTTCTTCAAGAAGCAATGTCCAAACCGCATCTGTATCCATCCATCGTTTTCGTCGCCCTCTAGACCTTCGGGGTTACATCACACTCTTCTTCGATACTAGTTTTTTTTCCTGTTCAGCGCATTGCATTCGTTTTAGCCCAATGATCCATCACCACGGGAGCAGGATCATCAAGTACGTTTACCTTCCCCCCCCCTCCTTCGAAATCTATATTTCGCTCTGGCTCTGAAAAACCCTATCAGTAGCATCCTCCAGCCAGCCAATTGGATGGCTAAAGACTCCGAAAGGGGGCATGTTCACGTCTATCCCTCTCCGGCAAGTCCTAGTTCCTTGATACTTCCAGTCCAGCATGATGCCAACGGGCCCACCTATCACCACCTCGTTGTTATGCGGTGGACGGGTACAGTCAATAGCGCATCCCTCGAAGGGAATGCTGCTGTGCTGCTTCTCCATACTGATGCCCCTTCTCGATTTTACCTCAGAGAGAGTTCCCTTTTCTTCATTCATTTCGGCACTAATCGTGTTTATAGCGTCCATTTCGCGGATCTGGTCCGGTCCCCCAAGTTTCACGCGCTGAGTGCGTCCATTCGTTGGCCCTCCAGCACGAGCCACTTTCCATCAGTAGCATTAATGGTTCCTGTAAAGCTTATCACCATCTTACTTCCGCCGTTAGATCCGAAAAAGAAAGGGTAACTAAACACGTAGATCCCCCCCCCACACACACGAAATCGCCATGGTTCGCGCGTTCTAGTAGGTGGAAAACTCCACTTCCCGACTAACTACCTTTTGTCCCCCCTGTCCATCTAGCAAAGAAAGAGACCAAGAATGGTTCTTCTTCTTCATCCGAGTCACCCAGACCCTCTGAATCGGAAGAAAATTGTCCCGGCTTGCATGTGGGGCACCAGTCACGCTCCCTCTTTGAAACCACCCGGGTTCAGCCACATCTTCAAGACACACCAATCGAGGCCGCGCGAGAGGGGACCATACGAGATCGCCCCCCCACCCCTACCCCTACCCAGCCCTCGTCGACAGTCGAACTCCAGCTAGCAGGGCCAACATGAAACACCCCCTATCGGCTACGCCACACGGACCCACAATATCAAATGGCCCCCCCCCCCCCCCCCCCCCCCCCCCCCCCCCCCCCTTCCCCAGATCAGCTGCCAGACCCCAGATCACAAGCTCAATCGTTACCCCAGATCACAAGGACCACAATTTTCGAACGCGTCTTATGGAGACAAAAATACCCATTGTTAAATGTTCATATCTTTACATAATTGCATTTCCCTAACAGGTCGTTACGACTAGCTAACGTACAATGACTTTTTTTCTTTTTCAGAAATTGAAAAAAAGAAAAAAAAAACGTGAGTGAGACAGGGAAAGAAAAAGAGCGATAGTAAAAAAGTACACTATGGAAGATGGATTGGTACTACAAGAGTTGGATGAAGCGATCAATAATAGCGAAACAAAAAGTCAGTAAGGTCAACATGGTATTACACACCATCAACATCCATCCCTTCGCCGACGCCCTGTCTGACGCGCCTGCGTCCACGTTCGGTCTCCTCCTCCTTCTTAACAACGGGCTCGTCTTCATGCTCCTCCTCCTCATCCACGTCACCCAAGGGGCTGCCGTTCGTTGGGAAAGCATACGCAGGGGCAGGTGGCTCGCCCCTCAGCCCGCGCAGCTCATTCTCCAATTCTCTGTTCCTCGCGCCCTGCGTCGTTACCAGCTGCTGCAAGAACCTAGAGTCGGGGATTGGATTGGATTAGATGTGATGTCCATCGAGGTAAGGGACGTATGTAAACGAACCGAATATACTCGACGCTCTTGCTAAGAATCATGCCCTTGTTCGCTTTGATAACGGCACCATTCCCGGTAGCTCCGTTGGCGACGACATCGGCGACGCCAACTGGGGGTGGGCTCTCGTCCTCCTTGAGCAGACTGCCCCACAGATCGTCTGGGGCGGGGGGACTCGCAGCGCTGGTGCCGTTCCCGTTCGTTCCAGCACCTTCGAGCAGACACTCCGGAATGAGAGTAGCGAGCTCAGTGATCTTCTCGTTGATGTTATCTCTCCTCCTCCTCTCCACAGCGTTGTGGCTTTCCCGCCGCCGGCGCCTCTTTTCGTTGGCGAGCATGGCCTGCTTGTCCTGCACCGTGGCATTGGATGTGGGCGGAGGCGTGAAGGCTGATGCAGGGGGAAAGTTTGGAAAGCTGGCAGAGACCATTCCCTGGTGCTGCTGCTGGTGGTCGTCATAGTGGGGGTAGGGAAGGGAATGAGGGTTGCCGAGTGAGTCTGGGGTCGGGGGGATGTACCAGCCTGTTGAAAGTGCTGAAGAGGGGGATGGAGACGGGCCAGTTCGTGTAGGGATAATGATATGGGCAGGATTGGGGCGGGATTGAGGCGGCGGGGAAGTACTGGAGATGGAGTTGGTGCGGCGGCCGCGGGTAGTGGCTGAACGAGTCGGGCCGACACTTGGCGGACGGCTGCGAGAACGGGATCGCGAGTCGGTATGCTCATTCCCATACTGCGTACCAAGCGGGGGAATGGTAGAATTGAAGTGGGGAGAAAAATGGTAGGGCGGGGCTGTGTAGGGGGGAGCGCTGATGTCGAAGATGTTGTGAGTCCGAGACGAGTTTGTATGGGCGTGTTTGTCGTTTGTGGAGCGTTCATTCGACACGAGGCCAACGAGGTCGTCGTCGGCAAAGTCCATCTGTGCGACGTTGTACGACGGGAAGAAGGAAGACATGGCGGTGGGTAAGTAGGCAAGATGGACCCTGCACACCCCCCCCTTCTTACATTCCAAACTCCGACGATCGATCTTGCTGACATAAGACATCAATCCCCAAATAACCCCCAACCTCGCCCCGCGGTCCCGTTTGCCTTTTTTCCCCACACTGAGGGCCCCGCCAAGCTTTGCGGGGTTTGGCAATTTCCCATGCGGCATGCGGTCATCACTTTACCCTTCCAACTCCCTCCCATGCGACATCCGCAGCTCTTCTGAGACTCCTGATTTTTAGACCGTCCCTACGTCGAATGGCGAAATCCACGCAATTACTCAGCTGGCGAAGTTCATCCGTTTGAACAAGAGAAACTAGGTGAGACGCCACATCTCTGCCCGGCTCCTATACCTCATACGTGCCGGCCATGCGGAAGTTGCGTCTGGATCTATTCATTCATCAGGGTTTTTTTCCCTGGGTCAGGGCCGCTAGGAGTCCTTGAAATTACCTCCGGGTCCTGCAGTGGTAGAGTCGGCCGATGAACTATATATACTTCGACCGACAGTCAGCGAGCGTCCAATGAACAGAGTGATATAAGAAACCTAGACTTTACTTCTGATATCACTGATACCCTCCCGAACCAATCACATTGATGGGACCGGAACCAATAGACCGACATGGAAGAAGGAGGGAGGGATGGGATGGGCAGTGATGGGGTCGCAGGACGACATCAGTGCTTATATGCACCTACGCGTCCATGCGCCCCCACGATCAGGTCATCGGGGCAGTCATGGGAGCTCAGACCAGATCAACGATCACGGTTGCGCGTTGTGAACGCGTAACGATCCAGAACACGCGGGGCCCGCCCTAAATTCAGAGTCAAAACGAAAAGAAGACCCACGCCATCAAATTTAGAACACCACTCAAAAGTGTCACGAAGAGAAGCATCCATTTCATCGAGGAGAAGGATGATAAACGGACGCAGTGGGTGGTTCTTTTGCGAGGCTGCTAAAACAAAGTGAGCAGCGCAATTTATATCATCGAATGAATAACTGACATACACTGTCAAAGTTACCAAATTTTTACGTCCTCCGGATGGGAAAAGTCTCCAGAGGGACGCTAAGCGCGCTAGCCAAAACAGGTGAGCGTCGGGGAGACTACGCACAGCCATGCGGGTAAAACGAGGAATCATAGGACGATACTATATCCATGGTGGTCCGAATTACATGCCCTTCCATACTTCTTGGCTCAGATTTCCATTCTAGAGACTCCAAGTAGCGATATCGAAGCGTGCTAAATGCCTCGTCACGATAAAATCTCCGGCACTAAATGTTTCATTACACACCTGCACTGCGAGAGATATATTCCTCTGTGGCTCTTATAATAGTCCACCGCACGGTCATCTGCCTGTCTACGGGTTCGTTTCCATATCTCGGAATGCTATAGCGAGAGCGCGATTAATTGAGAGATAACGGCATAGGTCATCGGGCCCGTCATACTGTCAGTCATTCACGAGGCACCGATATCATGAGGCCGTGCCGCCTTTTCGACAGTCCTTCCCAACGAATCAATTGTGAAGACAGCAGGCGCCACATGAGGCAGGACCGACCTCAGATGTACATCAGCTCGATGTGGCTTCCTGCTGTCCTTTGTCGAAAGGTACGTTATGGTTCGACGGTTCAATATCTGCCAGTGTCAAAAAGATCAATTAAATCGAGGATCGTTAAGCGCCACACACCACTGTGATATCAATCAGAGATCATCCTGCCTGAGAGAGAGGGGGGGGGGGGGGGGGGGGGGGGGGGGCCCTTGGGCCCTTTTAGAAAAATTTTTCGATTTTT